TCCCCAGTATGCACATTTAAGGCAGAGTCAAACTGCATCTCATAGTAATAGTGAAAATCATAATAAAAACATTAGTAATAGTAACAATAATAATGATGATGATGATGTTAATAATAAATCTTGTAATGATAATAATGGTTATTCATTCGATACACAAAAGAAATGGTTTACCGATATGCTTAAACGTATGCCAGGTAAACTAGATCACGCGACAGTGGTCGCCTATGAAGTAGGCGTGTATCGCGGGAATGAAAATGAAGTATATGAAGAGACAGCACATCGATTTCATACACCGATGACATTGAATTCACCAGTGCATAATTCAGTGATTCCTTCAGAGGTAAAATAATTTAAAAAAGAACTCTTTGTTCATGTTTGTACAGGAATAACTTCAGAGAAATACATTCACACTTCCATTATTCTTCTTCGTATTTTTCCGTGATATTTCGCCGTGATCATATTGTTTATTTTCCAGTTATGAATTGTTTACAATCACCTCATGTATAGATAGATCCTTTCTCTTTTCAGTCATCTCTTTTACATTCTTGAATATACAGACAGATAATAATCCTATTTTATAGTATGATAATACGAGAACAGTAATATTTATTATTCAGGACTTTTTTATTTACATCACTAAAAATACATACGTACACGCATGTACATATATATATTTATCCATCAATAGGATGCTTGAAACGCGCGCTTCGTCAATATTCAATGTTTCAATATTTTTTAACACTTATAGCATAACGTTATTTATTACTAAAAGAAAACGTGTCACATATGTATTTCTGGAAAAAAAAACACCTACGAAAAATTTCTGTTTTCATTCTTTTTTGTTTTTAAAAAAAATTTATTTATTCATGTACAGTAAATTGCTAAGTCGTGTTTCTGTTTTTTGTTTAACTCTATCAAAAAACCATCATAACACATAAAATACATATGCAAATTAGGATGAATTCTCATTATATATGAGTATGATAAATATAACACTTTTAGAGAGAAATCTACTGTCTTGTTAACTTGGATAATTGAGTTTTTTTGTTATAATCTGTCATCAGAAAAGAAAAGAAGTAATAGACAAAAATATATTCTTGTAAGAAACTTATGAAATACCACGAGACGACGTGAGTGGTATTAGATGGTTGGAGGCAATCAGCCACAGGAAGCCTTCAACCTAGGTTTCGTGCTAGTTGGCACTCATCAGCAAGGCGTATCTACAACCTTGAAGGAACTGATGTCCCTTCTGAGATTCGAACCCACGTCATCCAGTGCTGCGGTCAGAGACGTTACCACTGAGCTATTCAGGCTTGCGATTGACCTTCTGTAGGACTGTATTGGATATTTTTGATTGCACACTAGTCAGTAACTAGTGTAATGCGTCTAGTCCTATCTTCGCTGCAGACTGAATTCCCACCAATTGCCTCCAACCATCTAATACCAACAATTCACAGTGCATCGTAATGGTGAGCCACCTAGCATGGTGGCCACATTGCAATCTTGACTGATAGAATTCAATCTGCAGCGAAGATATGACTAGACGCACTACACTAGTTACTGACTGATGTGCTATCAAAAATGATGTGAGTGATTTCCAACTAGTCTTGTGGTCAACATTTTCGGTAGAGTATTACTGATAGTAATTTTCGTAGTTCATGCTCTGACTAACTATGATTTTTTGGGTACAGGGAGGCAATTCTCTGTGTGAATAGATGGAGTCAGTTGGAAGTAATCACTCACCTAGAGACTAATGCCCACCCAGCTCGTAGTTTTCGATTGAGATTCCACTTGAGAGCTTGGCACAGAATGTCACTTAATAGTCTTCTGTATGTATATTGAGCAATAGGTTGCTGGTTGGTTCGTTTCCAGGGTTCTTTATGCCTTATCCTCTCTGGTTGTCCATATGATCTTCTGTATCGAGAGATAGCAGTTGTTGAAGGCATAATAAAAAAGGATGTTAAGCATATAAGTTGGTATTTTGATATCATTCAAGTACTTGACAGATGTCCCCCAGTTTGACGTCCAGTCACCTTTACATAAGACTAATTTGCCAACTTTGTAACAACACACGTATTTTTGAATAAAGAAAGAAGAAACATTAGCGCAGGATAATCTGGATCCATTTTATTTCGTTGGCTCTCATCATCTGCGTACAGCCTGAATTCTTTAGTAAAATAAAAGTGTACAATTTTAACAAACTTTTGTCCATTAGCAAGCATATTGTCAGAGCGTCATAGTGAAATAAGGCGTTGAGATTTATAGGGTGTCTAAAGTGTTACGACATATATATATATCTTGTTAGCGAGAAGTTTCTTGAAAAAATTAATTAACAGTTGTGTTGTTAAGGTGGTAACAAAAGACAATTAGCAATCGTTACGTAATTAGATAAGAGAAGATCAAAATTTTAAAATTACGGTGCACATGAGGTCAGATGAGAAGTTGATGATGTAATACAGTGAGCAGAACTCAGAAGATCAAGAAAAATTATCTCTTAAGAGAGTCAAGCGAAACATAAATGGAGGGGGTGGAGTGAAAAGATAAGTTAACAAAATTAGAAAACAAAGAGTTACTAAGAAGTGAGTCACCAGGGTAATTGAAGTCCAACAACGGATTCTTTTTGGACACATAAGTCAGGCTTCAATCGTTTTATTGCTATAGCTTCAGCAAATCTGAGAAGACTTGAGGTACTTTGTCTGTTAATTATTTTGAATGATTCCAGCACATCTACTCAGTGTCCGGTGTCAATCAGATGTTTGGCGATTAAAGAGCTTAAATAATTCGGTCCCTTTAACCTGAGGCTCCTTGGTACATGTTCGCAGAATCTGATGTAGGCCCTCCTCTCAGTTCTTCCAATGTAACTGCTCCAGCAGATACATGTGAATTGGTATGCACAGTTGGAGGTAACACGTGAGGGGTACTTGTCAAACTTCGAGGAGGTTGTTCGGGGTAGAGAGACTAATAATGCTGCAGCATACGTCCTGGACAGGGCTGCGCTCAATCTTTTATTTACCATTCTCATAATGTCGTCGCCCTTGTAGTCGAGTTTGATCAAAATAGGCTTCTTACTGGCTGTAGCTGTATCAAGCTTCTTGACTCCATTCTTGCCATATTTGTTAGTGAAACTTTGTGGGTAACCATTCTCTTTCAAGCATTTTTCAAGAAGCATTAATTCACTGTCTAGTTTGTTTGGTGAACATATTCTTTTCGCTCTAGAGAAAAGTGTTTTCACCAGCGTTCGTTTGTATCTCACTGGGCAGAAGCTGTTGAAATTCAAGTAAAGACCACTCCATGTGTCTTTACGATATACAGATCTTTCGAGTGTCCCGTCAGTAAGGTATCAGTAAGTTATGTTGCTACTACTTCCTGCCTAAGAGTATTGTTGTGTTCACTGCGCATATGCACACATATCTGATAATAAGTGAGTAGTGAGATCCACATATACACAGATATTCAGTTAGGCCAACTGACCTATGTGAAGTTAGCTAGGTGTAGGCAATATTTCTAGGATAATACATTATTACTACAGATGAAAACAGATAGATTATGAAATAATACTTAGGAGTAGAGAATTTCAGATTTATCGCCTGTAAAAATATTTGATTTACGCTGAAATAGTTTATGACTGTTACTTTCATTTCACAGTAACATCGACTTCTTGAAACCAAATTTCTTCAAAGATTAGTGATATCAGCTTTTATTGCTTAAGTTGGTGCGTCGGTGGCACAGCGGTTAGGACGCTCAACGGCTGTGCATATGTTCCGGGGTTCGATCCCCGGCCACAGACGCACTCCCTTACCTCACTAAGCCAGTAATACAAAAGGTGGTAAAGAGGAAAGGTTGGGCATGAGGCTAGCAACTCCATCCTGTAAAAATAAAGACCGCTACAGAAATCTCAAGCCCTTTAGATTAAAACCCTATATTCCAGTGGGAACGTGAAGGAATAAAAAAATTGCTTAAGTTGTGCTTCCAGTTGATTTATTAAGTTTAATCGATATCCTAGGTCTTTGTTAAAATGTTATCGCCTGGTGTGAAAGATTGTACATGTGTAGGAATCAGCTACATCTAGGTGATGAGGTCCAAACAGGAAGAAATGCACATCCTAGACGTCGCTGATAATCACCATCAGTCGAAGTAACATACATTAGTTGTGTGTAATCCTGGCACGCTCTGTCTATCATGCATCTAAATGTTGTTTGGAGAGAGGTATAATGCACATAAGAAACAGAGATTTCAACAACTCAAAAAAAATACTTATGACTACTTTCAAAAGGATGCGCAAACAAATACATAAACATACACACTGCCTTTATGGTATTTTTCACAAGAAAACTATATCAGCAGTTTAGAAGTTTATTAGAAATATTTTTTTCACAACAAAGCACGAGGTCAGTCGATGTAGCCAACACATATGCATATTTCTTGCTAGTTGGCATTCTGAACAATCCAAAAAAAGAGAGGCATGCATAGCCAAGAAAACAAATGCACATGACACCAATAAGCACACACATATGTATTACACAATGGAATTCACTAACACTGTCTTTTGACAAAGTAAACACTATTCTAAAATGACATCTGTTTTAGGTTGAGAGGGAATCTTTCTCTTCAAGCTGAATACATAATAATGAGTGTCGACCAAAGGGAATTCCACTATTTATCTATGAACTGAACATAATGCAGATTACCAGTACTACGTATTTTAAACCTCCTATAGTACATAATTCAGACTGTTAAAAGAAGCACTTAATAGGTTATTTAAACTAAGTTGTTCTCGTACATTTAACAAACTGCCTACGGTGTGATTTATTACGTTACACGTATTTTATTTTATTTTTTTTAATTATTATAGCTTGATTCCACACAGTATTTTCGTACAAGTATGGAATTTTCAGCATGTGATATCGGTAGCCCAAATTCAGCAGGCCGACCATAGATATCAGGTGTGCGTCGGCGAGAGATCGAACCTCGGACCATGTGCATGGTTGGCGAGAGTCCTAACCGCTGTGCCACCGACGCACATAGAACTTTGCTAATATGTGCGGCAGTTCAAGTCGACACACTCCCTCCTTGTAGCACACAAAGCAAGAGAAGAAAGTAGGAAAAATGCATCATAGAGACAGTAAACAGAGGTGTGAGACAGAGGAATAGTAATAACGAAGAACAAACAGTTTCATTGGAAATCATAATTCACACGGAGTGGATGCATCTGCACCACTGGGAATGATTTTGAGCCATGTCACCAATTGTTTCCAACCATTGGTTTTTACCGTCCCGAGGACCCCAACCAGTCTGGAAGTCTACATCTTCCTACGTGGCTTAAACTAACTGTTGTAGATTTCATTGACT